GACCATGCCGGGTCGGGTCAAGTCTTACCAATTATAGTTATGGACTTAGACATTAATCCAACAGTTCCAAGGCCAAAGGGGCCAATATTGTTCGCTCTAAGTGGTTATACAGGAAGAAACAAAAGGCGGACAGCTCTCTTGAACGCTATAAAGCGTGCTTGGTGGCAAATGGAAAAAGTCAACGACTAGGGATTAATTATGAGGAGACTTTTAGCCCGGTTGTCAAACCTGCTTCAATTAGGACTGTTATGAGCCTTGCCATCTCTCGTCAATGGCATATCCATCAACTTGATGTCAAGAATGCATTTTACATGGTCATCTTCAAGAGATAGTCTACATGCACCAGCCACCGGGATTTCGAGACTCCACTCATCATGATTATGTGTGCCGCCTTCAGAAGTCTCTTTATGGTTTGAAACAAGCACCCTGTGCTTGGTTTCAACGCTTTGCTTCTTACATCACCAACATCGGCTTTACTCATAGCCAATGCGACTCTTCTCTTTTTATTTTTTGCAGGGGTACTGAAGTAGCATATATGCTACTCTATGTGGGTGATATTATTCTTACATCTTCCACCATGGCTCTCATGTAATGCATCATCTCTCTTCTAGCCTCTGAGTTTTCCATGAAGGATCTAGGAGACCTATCATATTTTTGGGGCATTGCAGCTTCTCGTGAAAACAAGGTCATATTTATTTCTCAATGCACATATGCTATGGAACTTCTTGAGAGAGCCAACAAGTCTAACTGAAACCCTTCTCGCACCCCTGCCGACACTCAGTCCAAATTGGATCCTTCTGGCCTATCAGTTTTAGACCCAGCTTTATATCGCAGCTTGACGGGTGGTCTCCGGTACCTCACATTCACCCATCCAGATCTTTCTTACGCCGTGCAACAGATTTGCCTTTTCATGCACGGCCCCAGGGAGCCACATCTTCATGCCTTGAAGCATATTCTACAATATGTTCGAGGTACCCTTGATTATGGGCTTCAGTTACATCCCTCCTCCACTACGGGCCTTATTGCGTACTCTGATGTAGACCGGGTAGGGTGCCCGTCCACTAGACTCTCCACTAGTGGCTATTGCATTTTTCTTGGTGACAATCTTCTCTCCTCGTCCTCAAAACGTCAACCAACTGTTTCTCGTTCGAGTGCAAAAGCCGAATACAGAGGTGTAGCCAACGTTGTAGCTGAAACTTGTTGGCTATGCAACCTGCTTCGAGAACTTCACTCTCCTCTTGCTAAAGCAACTATTGTCTACTGTGCCAACGTCAACGATGTGTACTTATCATCCAATCATGTTCAGCATCAGCATACCAAGTATATAGAGATGGATATCCACTTTGTTCGAGACAAGGTTGCCATAGGTCAAACCCGTGTTCTACATGTCCCTTCGTCTCTTAGTATGCAAACATCTTCACCAAGGGTTTGCCATATTCCATCTCCACGTATTTCCGATCCAGTTTGAGCATTTTTCCTCGTCCGCCCGCTCAAACTGTGGGGGTGTATTAGTGTATATGTATTATACTTATGTAGCTCATTTCTATTAGATTATTAGCCCATGTATATGATGTAGCCCAATACTTTTTATTTGTATATATTCCATTGTTCAATGAAGATCTCGTTATGGGAAAATACCATTATATCAGAACTAAGAGAATGTACATGAGATAATCAGTTTAAAAAGGAGATCATTATGTGAACATTTACACAAGATGATGACTTCAAAACAGATTGAGATAATTATAAATTATAATTGGATTCTGACTTCATTATGGAATGAATAGTAAGTTTTGTTGGAATGAGGACCAATACAAACATAATTGTACGGTCTACTAAATAAGAATACACTGCTACTTCAGAAGTTGAAATCTAATATGATTGTATGAACTAGATCATTGAAAACTAGTTTGAGTCATTCCATTTAGGGATAACCTAGAAATCTTTTGTGACTTATAGAGTGTACTTAATCAAGCTAAGAGACTCTATGTCACATCAGAACACCAATCATATTCTACAAGACATTTAACTATACTTAAAGTAAAGTCAAATATGGAGATGACAGTATTCACAGAATTCACACAAATTAAATTTAGCCAGACTCATTAATAAAGTCCTTCTTTTAAGCTAAGTATGAATGGTCACACTTCAGCTATAGGACTTCATTATTCTAAAAATGAGATTTTGATTTGAATTTAGTATTTAGATATTGGAATATTAACACAACAACTATTATATTGTTTTGATATATTGGGATACGATCTTCACAAGCATGTTTGTTGTGTTCTATATTAACATGTTTAATCCATTAATAATCTTATTATTCTAAAAGTTCATAGTAAATTATAATTGTGGGAGCAATTATTAAGTAAGACTAATATGAATTGGATTGGTTGACTCTCACCAGATGAAAGTAGGCAAGTGGTTGCAATCAAGATTTATAGGTACTTGTCAGAGAACTAGTACTGAACGTACCCACATCAAGGTCACCTTATATTTGTATCATTAACACCTAAGATACATAGTGGGAACGAACACGAACACACTAAATTTCTTAACAAACGAACATGAACCACCTTATATTTGTATCATTAACACCTAAGATACATAGTGGGAACGAACACGAACACACTAAATTTCTTAACAAACGAACATGAACATAAAATTTTATTCGTTTAATTGTTAGTGTTCGTTCATTTATCATTTAAATTTAAACAAACGTACATGAACAATTTTCCATTCGTATATGTTCGATTCGTTTACAGTCATAATGGTTGGTGTTTGTGCAAAGTACAATGTATATCTCATCATCCTTTGTCTGTGAATTGTGGTGATGGTGATGATAGTGAGGTTGTTGGTGGAAACAGTAAGGTGGTAATGCTTGTGGTGGCAGCAGTAAGGTGGTAGTGGCGGTGGTGGTAATGCTTGTGGTGGCAGCAGTAAGGTGGTAGTGGCGGTGGTGATGATGATTAGTGATGATAGTGGTGGTTATTTTAGAGTTTGAAGTTTTTTCAAAACTAGTCCTTGTAGTAGGGTTTTTTTTTGATTTGGTGTGAGGGCAAATCAACAAAATATAAAGAGGGGCACTTACGTCATTTCACACTTAGCTAACAGATCAATATAAATTGGGTTAAGTCCCAGGAACCAAGGGCGATGCCAAACAGTGAAATAAGGATCATCCATGACGAAATCGAAATAGTAGGACCAAAAGTGTTGTTTTGTGAAAACCACAGGGACCAAAATTGTGTTTTACTCTAATGAGAGAGAGAGAGAGAGTCAATGCCATTAATTAATATTTTATCCATTATTAAAGTTTTGGTACAAAAGCTGACGAATTTAGTAGTCCACGTTAGGTCACCAGATACGGCTGACCATAACTTTCAACGCTGATAAAAATGCAACTACTTCCTACCAATCAAAAGCAACACCACCAAAAACGAAAAAACAAAATCAAAAAGTCTAAAATCAAAGATCAAAAACCGTGATTTGCTACTTACATGGAAGTTCTTTTCAAAAAATCATGTTCTAATGCCTTTTGAAAACACCCCACAGCTTCCCACCACCAATTGTTTCCTGTAATTTCTTAGCACCTTCAACCTCCATTGTTACAAGCTTCAGTAAATGCAACAAAGCACCTGATTTCACCATCTGTTTGCAGCATTTCTTCGAATGTGTTAAGGACATTAGTATTGAAATAGGGTATTTCTTGTCGATATTTTTTATCGATGGATCTAAGAGATGAACCACATTCATTATCCCTTTCTGTTCCTTCCTGTAAATTCTCCTGTTTTCTGTATAAACCAAGATTGTTGATAACGCCTTTGCAGCAGCTTCGATTTCTTCCATAGCTTTCCCATCGAGCATTCTAATCAATGGCGGAATGAACCCTAATTCGCCTAATTCTTTTTGGGTTTTCGTGTTGTATCCCACCTTGTAAATTGCTTCAGCAGCATGGATTCTAACGCCTAATACCCCACAATTTAACACAGCAATGAGCCGATTTAAGAAACCATTCGTAATTATGAGTTCGACCAGACGTTGATCGGAAGCTAAATTGCTCAAAAACTCAACTGCAACATCTAAGCTCCCAACAACAGGGGAAGAATCCCAGAAGCTTTTCAAACTATTGATCCCTCCTTTTCGAGCAATTAAAAGTTTTATATCATCGTCTTCTCTAACGAGATTGCTTAAACACGCAATTGAATGCTCTTGTGCTAGCGCAGTTCCTGAGCTAGCGAGTGTTAGAAGTACAGAAATTGCGTGTTCTTCCATAAAATCGTCTCTCGTCTCGGAGAAGGTGGTTAAATTCCGGAGTACGGCGGCGGCGAATGCTTGTGAACTCGGAGTACCCGACTGGCAAATCTCTAATAACGATGAAATCCCACCTCTTGAAGCAATTACTATTGCGTTTTCTTTGGAAAGGGTTAATGCTTGAAGCGTAATGCACGCTTTCTCTTTGGCCAATCCGCTACCTGATTCGAGAACTCGAATGAGATAATGGAGTAACAGCAAACCTTCCGCCATTAACCCGTGTTTGCTCGAATCAACTGTTGAAATCCTAGCAATTGCTGTCACCGATTTTTCTCTAATTTCCATTGAAGATCCGGAATCCAGAAGACGCACAAGCACCGGAGCTACTCCCTGCGCGACGGCGATCAGAACATTCTTATCGTCTTCTTGGATTAGCCTGAAGAGTGAGTCAAGAGCTAACGTTCTAGAATCAACCGAACCCATCTGCAACCGAGTTACCAAATTCCTCGCCTCGATTCGAACGGATTCCCTCTTCGAAACCGATAAGGAAGAAACGACTCCGTCATTGAGAACGCCGCTTTTGATTAAAACCTCCCAGTCTCTGATGTGGTTGTCCAGTTTTGCTGAGATGGAATCGACTTCATTTTGGGTTTTGAGCTTGCCGCCGGGGAGATTCGAGCTGTGGCAGGTGAGGGAGAAAGTCAGAGCGTCGGAGAGAGTTCGAGAGAGAGAACGGAGGAGGTCAACGGAGAGGGAGTTCGGAGGGAAGTCGGAGAGCTCAGAGAGTTGGGCTTTGAGGTCGGAAAGTTTTGTTTCCATGAGCGACCATTTCCCTTTGAAAGATTGAGTTTTGTGGATTGAATCGAGTAGCGATTCAAGAACGTGGATGGTTTCAGCCTCGACGGCGTCGTCTTCATTTTCCGGCAGCTTCATGCCGGCCTTAGGAACGTTGATGCGGGGAAAAAGGGAGAGAGAGTCCGTGCGCGCGGGTATTGAGTAAGTGGAAAGACGAAAGGAAGGATATACGAAATAATTAGCGGGGTGAAGCTAAAGACCAACGCGCAGGTTAGGCATGTTCAATCACGCGCGCGCAAAGATAACCAAAAAAACTAGTATCGTATGTATGTATGTATGGATAAACGTAATACATGTATGTTTGTATGTATGTATGTAAAGTGAATGAGAGAGAGTTACACCAAAAATATCATCAAAATGACACATCAAAGACAACATCTACGATATCAAAGGCAATAAGTGCAATAGCGATGGATGAAATTAAGCACTATATGATTCATGATCTAATGGGGACAACATTCTTGCATCGTGCCATCGACATATAGAACCATAAACAACTACAATATTTATAAATTATAACATGGTTATTTTGAAATTTACCATTTTCATCATGTAAAGACTTTAGTTATTAAAATATGTTTGGAGATATTTTTTTATTGATAATTATTTTAATATATATATTCACATTCACAATCTTTATATAACATACTTTTTTAATTACCTAACTTCAAATCATTACAATTTTGTACGTATAAAATTGATTATACTGTCAGTAGGCAACTTATAAGTTATAATTGTATACTACACACTATTTTAGTATGTACATGTTTTGTTATATAAATAAATAAGTTAGCCGCGTGTGGAAAGGAATGAGCAATGTGTGGTTGTGTCACATGGGAAAAAGGGGATAATTCGTCTGTCATTGAAAAGTGAAAACATCTTACAAGAATTATATTCCATTATTATTTGTTTTTTTTTTGTTTGCCAAAAAGTCTTTAAAAAGGTTTGCTTTTCAGATACAAATCAACGAGCATATTCAATTTGTCAAGAGATTTTATAAAACTCATTATGGTATAAATTTGTATTCAAATCGTATGAATAAAATGATTTAATTATTATTATTTGAATATGTAATATTCAAAAAATAAGTTTTGGATAATTATTTTAAGAGCTAAAACAACATAATTGATTATTAATAATTATTTTTACACATTCGTTTAGATTTAACCTCAAAGTTTGTTTTGTTGTGTTGGGACTTTTTGAAAAAACTTTGGTATTCGGTTTCATAGGTTTAACAAGTAAATTCACAATGGTTGTCTATGTATATGTCGATCAAATTCTTAATTAGTCTCAACACCTACAATAGTCTTCTTCCTCACCTACCATCCGTCTTCTTCCTCCTCATGGCTTCTTCTTCAACATCTTATATCATCAAATCGGGTAATCACATCAAGTGTGACTGCGTTGATGAACTTCAATACTCTGTTTCAAGAACCGATAAAAACTCAGGAAGAAAAGTTTAAGGCGTTCCCTAACTATAAGGTAAAAATATTTTTTTTTTCTAATTTTTTAAATATAGGTTTTTATCTATGGTATATGATGTATAAATGTTGGAAGGGTACAAAAAGGGTGTAAATATTTTAAGTGGCTTGACACATTATCACCAAGAGAGGAGTTGTATGATGAAAGGATACCTTATAATGAAATTATTGTCAATGGTGTATTGCAATTGGAGATACTAGCTAAGAGGGTGATCTTGTTGCTGAAGTTTGTTTTAGTGATGTGATTATTGGAGTCATTCTTTTAATTGGGATTATAGTTTAAGGAATTGCCCAAGGTTAAGGTCATTGATGTAATTTTGGTATTTTGGTAAGGTTAAGGTTGCAGTTAATATAAAAGATAATTAGTTCATATGACTTATTTGTATTATTTCATACAAATGATCATTTAAAAAAATAAAGTAAATTACACGAATCGTCTCTTGTAAAGGTGTCAAAACGCATGTTTTTAGTCTCTATTTTCAAAAATTAACTCGGGCCGTCTCTTATATTGTAAAAAGGTGCATGCTTCTTCCTTACAAACATGAAATAACTATATTGTCATTTTATTTATTTTTATTTATTTTTTAAGTTTATTTATCATTTTTTAGATTAGAAAAATAATAATAAATACCACCACCCACACCCTAACCCACTGCTCCCCCTTCTTATTCCCCTTTTCCTTCTACTTTACTTGGAAACCAGAAACACCAGTGGAATCACCAACACCGCCACAAGCTTCGCCATCTGCACACCACTATTGTTCACCCAAAAACCATTCTAATCCACAAATCAAATCAGTGGTGGTGTAGAAGAGATTAAGATCGAGAAAGAGGGTGTCGAAATCGATGATGGTTTCGCCGTTTTCGTCATATCTAGGGTTCGATTTTGAAAGTGAAACTGAAAAGTTCTTTTCGGAGAAGACGGTCACCAGATTCCGACGAACAGGCTCTAGAACGACGACCACAACCCTCTATCTTCTCTCAAGACTCCCTGTGACATCCCCAAATTCAAGGTCATTTTAAAAATTTTATTTATGCTTATATGAAAATCAGAGTATCCATTTTAAGGAATAATATTGCAAAATTTGTTCCCAGAAAACATGATAAATATATTATCAAAGCATTTCAGAAAAAATGTATTTTGTTTATGTTAAAACTTTGGTATTTCATCGTCAATACAAAACATAAGCATAAACAGGTCTTACATTCATTTACACTAGTGATTTACATCCCCCTTTAAATCTCTCAGTGTAATGTGTCATCGTATCGATACATGTGATACAAATAAACTGAGTGGGTCGGGTTGGGAAACCTGGTGAGTACATAAGGTTTTCAACCCACAATAACAAAGTTATTATGTTTCATCATCAAACAATTAACCCAAATACATGTCCCCCTTATCTTAAGGATCTACCCTAAGAATCATCTATCATTCATTCATTCATTCCTAATGATTGTCCTAAGGAATAGGCACGAAGTCCATCGCTGCCAGGGTTTATAGATTACAACTGGTGAACACGTAGTTAATGTCACACCCCCGAACCAGACGGCAGAAACGTCCGGGGGCTTGGGTGACTTCATTTTTGTAGTATCATCACAGTGTATATAATTGAAACCAAACATCATCATCATCACACATGTAATATTACAACTGTCATTGTTTACATCAAGTATCGTATTTTAATATTACATGCCAAAATATCCAAATATAGTACTAACGAAACACATCAAAATATCCAGGTATTCTTGCTGACCAACCTGTTCAACGATTCCCTGAGAATACAAGTTAATTTAAAAAGGTCAACATAAATAATGTTGGTGAGTTCATAAGCATGTTTTGAGAAAATGTTTTGTATTGCTTTGTTATTACCTGAAAATCCGATATTTTCTGAAAACGACTTGAAGGGTTTGTGTCAGATCTTGCATTAATGCATGTGTGTTAATGTTTGTGAGTGTATGAAGTGAATAATTCCAGGCAACCCGATGTTGCCTGTTTATAAAAAAAGACGTTGTGATTTCATTACCCTAAAACTGAATACAATGAGTGTGTGTTCCCGTGTTATCGACAAATGTTGTATTCCGTAAATTTTATGATGGTGTGGGGTGTCACCCCCGTATAGATCTATACACAAACTCTCGCTCTCCCTCCAAGAGACTCTGGTTATAACTACAGACTACGATTGTACACTCAATAGGTGTCAACCGAAATGTCTCACAAGATCCTTAACCAAATTTTACGTGAATATGAAGTTGCACAGAGTATATTATTTTCGTATAAGTATTTAGTTTTTATAGCCCAACGTGTACGTTTGTGAATGTGTGAAGTCAACGAGCATGTAAATGGACCACGAAGGCCCAATAAACATGTAAGGTATATTTTAGGCCCAAATAAACATGTGAAAGGACAACTAAGGCCCACTAAACATGTAATTTATAATCCATGCCCAATAAGCATGCAAGGGGTATTCCGGGCCCAATAAACATGTAAAAGGACAACTAAGGCCCACTAAACATGTAAATTATATTCCAGGCCCAATAA